TTAATATTGAATAGATGAACAGGTGATTATTGTGAATTTCATTTAATTTTATTGGTTTTAGCTGAAATCAATGATAAATCAGAATTTTCTCTCTCCTCTTTCGTTACTCATGGATTGCAACAATTAGTTCAATCATCATTATAAACCTAGGACTTAATTTAGAAGATTAACCTGGATCTCAATTTAAATTTCCCATGTTGCTCTCTTTAGTCCTTAAAACCTTACTCTTACCGAAGGCTGAAGAAAGTATGAAATTGGTCTTTGTAGTCCACAATCGTGTTAAATAGGGCCAAATGTAAGACCAGACTTGAAGGTCAATTGGGTTTCAGTCTCATGAATAATAAATGCACCTCCGATAAACATTAAAAAAAGTAAAAATAAGCCTTGAATAATGGACTATTTTTCCCATTTGATTGAATCACTCTTTTTGAAAGTCCATTTCATTTGGCCTTATCTAATTACATTTGTTTTTTGAATATAAATTAACTTTTTATTTAAAGTGTCTTCCATTGCTTTTACCCAATCCAATCATCGCATTATCCACTTTCTGGAGCCTTGTATTTGATTTCCACCCGAAATGCACGCAAATGTCTGTAATGTTACAATATCATGACTATAATTGACTTGAATCTTAGAATCTTATAATGAAACCGATAATATAAATGATTTGGTTTATTATCACAGAAAAGTTACAATGAACAATTGCAATTGCTGAGAAACTTCAATGTAATAGCACACAAATAAGCCTAACTTTTGTTTTTTTATATCTATTTGTCGCATAGATTAGAATTGTCGAATTTTAATTTTTATAATTGCATGATTCCTAGAATTGGTAATCAGAATTTAAGTTCATTTTATAGGTGATTGTTTTTTCGACAATCATAAGATCGCATGATTTCTTCACAATAGGAGTAAAGTAGTAAAGATAAAAATATTAACCAAATTTTCATTGTTAATCTGTATCTCATTAGCTATCACATCAACAGATTCAGTATAAATATGCCTTTGAAAAATCATTCAATATCCAATTGGACAAGAAATTTATATTTCTCGAGTTTAACTTTTCATTTTGTTTCAAAATGTTTCCAAACGTATTCTTTTTGCTTTTACTCTCGTTGTTTAATGTTAAATTTTCAAATCAAACGACTATTGAAAGCAAGTGTAATGACAAATATGAGCCAGCTAGATACGACTTAGTGGCCAATGATGGTGATCTGTTGTTAACAGCCGATTTTCAAATGGAATCGACAAATGCTTTTGAGCCAATACTAAGTGTGGAGCTGAGACCGTACACTAACAGCAGTTCTTCGAGTACTATTTTTTTTCAAATCGAAGACGGGTTAATTCGTTCAACTTATGTATTCGAATGCAAACACTCTGCTCATAATGAATCCACTTGCAGCTCTGGTTTTTTTGGTCACACGGAAGAATCTAATTGCATTATAAACCAAGGTACGTGTAAGTGGCTTCTAAAGGTTGGTACGAATGCTCTCATCACAAGTGAAAAAAAACATGAAATATCATTGATAGACCTAATCGTCCTGCCGAAAGTAGCGGAAATTGTGCTTACAAATTCAATCGATTATAATATTGTTAAAGATGTGACTGGTCTTCCGATATATCATTGGTCATATGCTCGATACTGTGAATATAACAAAAAAATATACAATCTTGATGGCAATATGATGACTTTGAAGAAAGAAAATGGTTCATTTGAATTGTTCATCTACCGCCTTTTGAAGAGTGACCTCGAGAACCCAAGACATTTAACCTTGATCAATTCAAAAAACAGTTCAATATCTATCTTTTGTGATGATGTTAGCAATGACATCCTTGTTTGGACTAAGACTGGATTCCACGAAAATTCAGTGTTGGACAAATATATATTAAGGCAGCAGATCGATAGACTTCGATGTGGCATCTCTTTGTCACTCGAAATGGAAGGCGAAAATTCATCATTTTCTTTTAATGATGCACCATTGAAAATTATTCATAAGGTTAATGGTTATGATAATATAATACAAGAAGTAAAATTTGAGTCTGATTTTTTCGATGTACATTCACCTGAAATTGAAACTACTTCAACAGCTTCTGTTGATCAACATGATGTTGACGATGAAAACCAGGAACATGATAAAGTTAATCCTTTAATAGGAATTGCCTTGACTATTATAACTTTAGTTAAATCTTATTTCGATCTTTGGTAATTAATAAATTAGATTTCAGTGATTAAAATAACTAATTTACTCGAATCAATTAAATTTTATAGCAACACTCATGATAAACATTCAGAGATTTATTGCTCTGTGATTTGCAATTGAATATTATTAATAAATAAAAAATTTTCACAACTAACATTTTCATTATTAATATCACTTTCGACGCTGTTCAATATTAATCTAATTATCAAGCTTTATAATCAACTTTGAGTATTTTACAATTGTACAATTGTAAAAATTGGCAAATAACAACATTTAAATATTGTTCGATTTACAATCATCACCATAATGAACAATCTGAACAGGATTGTGAATAGAGTTGAAATTAAATAATGGAAACATTCGTTTTTTTGAATTTTCTTGAATTCATTTCAACCAGAAAACCGGAAACGTTCATGTTTAACAATTTCATCATTTTTTCCCCTTAATCAACTTACCAAGCATTTCTCTGGAAACAACAGTCAATTCAATGTCAGTTTTTTCTGTAAAATTCAATATAAAATTTGGGTAAGATTAAGGTTTACGGACTAAGATCCAAGCAGGTTAATCTTTTAAAATCAAGTCCAAGGTTTATAATGATGATTGAACTAATTTTTAGTGCTGTTGCAGAAAATCTCAGAATTTGAGTCTTTAAATGTGGATTGACTTTATCGTACTCAGTGAAAATAAATCAGTCATGATCGGGGCTCCACTTGTTAAACTTACATGAAATTCACAATAATCACCTGTTCATCTATTCATTAATAATTTTACCATTGGTTGACGAAGTGTGGGATTTTTAAGTTCCACCTTAGTCTGTAAAACCTTACTCTTACCGAAAATGTTTCCAGCTTTGATCTTTTACCAACCGCTCATTATTCCCAAAAATCGTCCTGATCATCATCATGGTTATCCAAATTCTAAGATTTGTTGATACTCAATGAAGGTTAAGTTAGCTCTGTAGGTTGATTACCCAAGTACCAATCAGTTATTGGTGGTATATATTAAATTAAAGAGGAAGCGATCAATAAAATGAAATTTTTTATCCTTTGTTCATACAGATTCTTATAGCAAACCAATTTTAAAACCTTGTGTAAAACTTTAATTCAATCAAAACAGTTAACTGTATCAATGAAGGACTTGAAGACAATTTAACAGATTCTCATTCATCTATTATTTCTGTTATTCTATCACTTTAGTCTCTTCTTCTTGATCACCGTCATATCATTTTCATCATTTACAATTGACTTTCTACAATTGCGTTTTTCGCCTCTCGTCCAAACCTCACAACATTGGATCTTAAGTTACTATTAATAGTTGATAGTTAGCCTAGATTTTATTATTATAGTATTTAGAAAAGTTAACCAATCAAGTTTGTTGTTGTTCAAGATTCAGCAACAATCAAGAATCAAAGGAAAGATGAAGACCAACTCGTGAACAGATTTCTTGTTTTTCAGGGAAACTTGGGTTAATGTTAGCATAATAGTGGCAAACAACTTGTCTGTTACTTTATTTTGCCTTTTCCACCCGTTTTTGGTCATTTATTTTTTTTATACTTACTGGTTTAATTTTCATACCTGTTCAATTAATTATTATTTTGAGCCTTAAACTTGACTGATTATGCTTTGATGGTTTGAATATACCTCTTTTTCAATTGTTTTTGTTCATCAAACCAGAATACCTCTTAACTCATTTGGACTGTTTTGCCTATGTTATTGTCTGGTAATTTTTTAACAGCTCAAAGTTTATTTATAAATTGTGCTAATTAAAGCTGCAATCAAAGATGAAGATTGAAGAGATTCAACATATCACCGACGTTGTCGGACATTGGGGTAAATGGCAAAGCAACATCTTCTTCTTTTACCTTTACAACCTCAGTCTATTCAGCCTTTCATAATCTTGGTTTGGCTTTGATGGCTCCTAAGGTGGACTTTTGGTGTGCAACCGATTTACAAAAAGTAAGTTTTATTAACCATTAATCTCTTTAATCACAATCAACTTATTAACTTATAATTGTAACCAGAACATGACTGACCATTGTTATGCTGATATTAAAAAAACAATTCCTTGTACAAAATGGGTTTACGCCGAGTCCTTTTTAACCAAAACGATAATTTCAGAGGTAAGCTAAATTGCTCTGACAAGCGACAGAAATGTTAATTATGACTTACAGCAAACTCAATCGAATCAAATTTAGTTTGATTTGGATAAAATAAGTAAATCTTGGTTCCTTGAGATTTTGCTATTTGGAGTTACTCCGTGACATCATTTCTGATTTCGTTTGTTCAACGATATGCTGTTTTTAACGGGTAATTTTTTGACACCGTTTATTGATCATTACTTATTGTTTCATTTTCATGGTTAGTGGGATTTGGTTTGTGATCGAGCTTGGCTTGTTTCAATCACTCAATCACTCTACATGTGTGGAATGACAATCTCTGCATTGCTGTGTGGTCATTTCTCAGACAAATATGGTCGACTTCCAGTCTTATGGACAGCAGTGGTTACTGAGATAGTTGCTGGACTTTCTTGTGCTTTTTCAATATCAATCTATCAATACATGATTTCAAGGTTTGTCCTTGCCATCGGAGCTTATGGAAGATATTTAACTGGTTTCATGTTAGGTAAGCCTAGTACAAGTAAATCCCAAGTCAAAAGTGTAATCTGGATCTCACGATGTCTTTGTGTTTTTAATTTTATCATCAAGTTATTGAAACGACTGGACCCGAGTATCGAGCTACTATGGGCATTGTTTGCCGATTTGGTTGGGCTTTGGGTTGCTTCATATTACCAGGAATTGTTTGGCTATTTGATAATTGGCGGCACGCTCAATTAGCATTTACTTTGCCTGAGATACTTTGGATACTCTGGTTATGTCGTATTCCCGAGTCTCCTCGATGGCAATTAGCTAAAGGTAACAGTGAGAAAGCTCAAGAAGAACTGAGAAGAGCTGCCGAACTCAATAAAAGACGATTAACTGGAATAGAAGATAAATTGGAAGAACTAAGAGATAGATTTGAAAAGGTAA